TGCTCTCAGATATCAGTCTCAGGATTCTAACAAGCACCCTCGGCTGAGGGCCACTGTCCTCCTCAGCCCCAGATGTCAGAGTCAGGGCCCTCTCATGAGAGTCATCTAAGGCCAACTCGGGGGCTTTTCAAACTGAAATACAAAGCCTCATAGAAAGCACCTGGCTCTTGAATAGAGTGCTGGGGACCCTTAAGAAATTACTCATATTTTAAAGCTTACATTTCATCCTTTGTAAAATGGGGCTACCACCCAGGTTGTGGGAATTGAATGAGATGACCCTTGCAATGATAGTAACAATATTAGCAGCACTGCCAACTGTAAAGCGTGAAAACCTTGACCAGAGTTTCATTCTATACAAAACAAACTTGGCTCCAGTTTTGGAATGGCTAGAAACTTACCTCATGATTCTGTCTAATTCAATACCAAAGGAGTTGGGAAGTCCTCCTCACATCTGTCTAACTGGGGATTGAAACACAAGAATTTTTTATTGATTGTAAGCTCTAACTACATCCCAAGACTGAAATGAGTGAATGAAAAGGAAGGTGAATTACTCGGCAAGAAGACTGAAATGAGTGAATGAAAAGGAAGGTGAGTCGCTAGACCAACTGCCTTTAGTGATGGTTCTAGCTTTCCGAGCCGAGGGGGAGGCGCCCTGGGTGTGTCTATTGCTGCCCCAGAGACAGGAAACCCTGAAGGGGCTGGGTTCCTTTTGGCCAGGCACTGTGGGGCATTATGTTTCGTGATGGTTTGGGGTGGGACGGCTGTTAGAGGAGGCCTGAGCAAACAGAAGGAAAGGAATGTTACCACTGCCCCAAGGAATCACTGTCCTTGTCAGTCTTGAAATATTTTATCTCATTTCACAAATTTTGACAATTCCTGGAAATTGCTATGTATATTTCTCTTGGCTCTAACATTACTCAAAGGGGGAAAATGCAAAGCAACAGTGCAGGACCTGTAACCCATGTGGAATTCGCTTTGCTGGGGGTTCCCAGCCCTCTCAGCTGGGAGAGTTACATGCGTGTCACAGAACATCCAAAACTCACAAAACGCCAATCTCCCCCCTTCTCGGCTTACCCATCTGCTTCTTCAATCTCACCAAAGTCTTTGGTTACGTCTCTTTCTTTCCATGCTTACAAATTCTCTCATTTTCTATTTTTTTAAAAACTCTTTTGGTCCTTAAGTTTTCATCTATTTTGTAGTAAAACAATATTGATGTAAGATAAACGAGATAATGGCAACAAAGTAGATAATTTTGATGAAATGGATACATTTCTGGAAAGACATCTTACTGGAAGTGACTCAAGAAGAAATAGAGAGCCTGAACTGACCTATGTGAGTAGAGAACGAATCAGTAATAAAAAACTACCCACGAAAAAAAGCGCAAGACCAGATAGCTTCAGTGGCAAATTTTTCCAAATCATTAAAGAAAAACACCACCAATTCTTCAAAAACCAGAACAGGAAGAAACACTTCTCAACTCATTATAGGAGGCCAGTAATATCCCACACCAACGTCAGACAAGATCTCCACCAGAAAAGAAAACAACGGACTGTACTTTATGAACACAGATGCAAACAGTCCCACCCGAATTCCAGTAGGCTGAATCTTGCAGTGTATGGACTATGATCGATGGGACTGATCCCAGAAATGTAAGAAATCTGAGACAAATAAGCAAAGCAAAACACAGCCCTCCGCTCTGGGGAGGTCTTGGCATGAAGGACCGGCTGTGGCTGTTCCCAGTCCTGCGTCAGGTGCTGGCTTACTCGGCTTTGGGCTCGTTGGTCAGGGCAGGATGAGAGGAGGGGAAGAGCTGAAGGTCAGTGTTTACCCCATTCTAGAAGGAGGACGCAGCTCTCTCCTGGGTGTGGGGACTGAGGGAAAGTAAGAAATCACCTCCCAGGGGGATGGCCATGTCACAATCCTTTCTCCTCCATTCTCCTCTCAGGATTTTTTTTTTTTGGGGGGGGGGCACATGTGCGCAGTGTGATTTTCAATCTGCCGGGTCCAGGACTCCAACTGTGATCGACTATGTGAGAATCCAGTACCTTAACTACCACGCCACCTGCTGGCCCCTATGTTCCTACTTTATAGAGGAGAACACTGAGCAGGAGAGAGGCTGAGACTCGTCAAGGTCACTCATCTGGAAAGCCATGGCAGCCTGGGCTCTGCATGAATCCCCACCCCACCCCCCTTTTCTTCCAGAGAGGGATAAGGCAGACACCCGAAAGCCTGGTGGCTGAGCCGAAGTGCTCACGTGTGGAAGAGATGTCCCCATGCAGCCTCATCCCTGACTGGGAGCGGGACAGACCCCACGAGTCTGCGCTAGTTCTGAATCTGGAGCCACACTTCTGTGTGTAGGCCTCCCAGGATTTTTCAGTTTTTTAAAGTTTTGTCTCTGATGGAGGGAGGTATGCTGGGGCTCACTGATGTTGGGCTCCTTCATCATGGGGTCCAGGGAGACCTTGACCCTGAAACTGTAGGGCGATGCCGTGTGTCTGAGCTACGGGACCCAGGTCCCCGAGAGCACTCGTCTCCCGCAGGGCTCCTGGGCGAGCCTGAGCCTCGCTCAGTGTGTGCATCCACAGTGCTCGGGAGCCTTCCCCGAGTACAAGGGCCTGACTGGTGTCCAGGGATGCAAACATGTTGCATAAGGATGTCCCATGCGGATGTCACATGCAGCTCTCTCGCTGGCTGCCCAGACTTCTGTGTCATCTCCAGAGACAGCAGAGAAGAGGGTGAGGAGTCTCAGGGCGTTCATATCCTTGTGCTTCCTGACGGCGGCTGAGCCACGGGAGCAGGTGCCTTAACCAGCACCGCTACACCGAGTGAGTGCCGCTGTCATGAGCTCCATCTTAACCCTGCAGTGTCTTCTGCAAACCACCCGGTGCCTTAGGGGTTACTGGTTTCCTGGGAGGTGGCTTTCTCATGGGAATAGGCAATATGCCCAGGCCATTTCTGCCACACCACAGTGGCCTGTGTCCTTACCCACAGCTACAGGGCAGCTCCAGTCAGGACTGGCGCCAGAAGTGAGCTGGTAACTGTGTGGAGTGAAAGCACCTCCCACTCCCTGCAGCAAGCCCCCCGCTCCCGGCAGGCGAAGAGGCAGGACGGTGCTTGATGAGCACATATTCAATTTGGGAAATAAGCCCCTTCCCTATCTTGACCTAAAATGGCTTAATGGTGACAGCACCTTACAGATGACCTTCGTTTATTTTCTAAATCTAGGAGGCTTGTAGAGTATGGCGAGACCAGTACTGTCAGAATCACGGGGTAGACCAACATCAGACATTGGTCTGGACAAGGACAATTGTCCTGAGTGGCCTCGTCTGACACGTGATCATAACGCTTTCTTCGCATGCGTTCACACGGTGTCTCCTGGCTGGTGACTTCCTTGAGGGTCGAGGGCGGTGTTCTACATGGAAGGTGCCCAGGCAAAGTTGCTGGATGGAGGAGAGATGTGTGAACATGCACGCGCATGCTGGTGCACTCGGTCCTTACAGGGCACTTCTCAGTCGCCTGCACTGGCTGGGAAAGGCCTCTAAGCCCTGCCTGTCCTAATGCCCGTGCCTTTGAAACGTGCAGTACAGAGTGAAGGTGGGTATCAGGCTTTCGGCTGGCTTTGTGTCCACGAATGGGTGGCTGTGTGGTCTCGGGTAGATGATCCGTCTCTCCTGGCTTACAAAGCCTGGAGAGCAGCTCGCCTGTTTGCCACTATTGGTCTTGGATTCAAGTGCCTGGGTCCCAGATGCTGCTCAGTAATGCAGCCTTCTTTCCTGTGAGCCTCTCCGTCCTCATTTCCTCCTCTAAAAAATGCGGTTGGGGGTTCAGGGTGACTTGTGTGGTGAGTGTGGACGGACGGAGCAGGCTCTTCCTTGATCACTGACAGTGCGGTGCTGGGGCCTGCCCGCGTGTGCACTGGCTTTCAAAGAACACACCTTATTAGCAAAGCAACGCGTCGCAGCACCGCCAAGACACCACCACCAACACATGGAGCTCAGAGACCTCCGCTAGGGGCTGCAGCCTAGTTTCCATGGCTGTAAACACAGCGTCAGGGTCACTGTGGAATGCCACATCTCCCTTTGCCATGAGCTATTAGAGACAATCACGAGCCTACCAACTTTACCCTTGCAGGGCTCCAGGGTGCTGCCCCTAACGCCTGGTCATTGCCACATCTACCTTGGGCACTCTGCTGAGGGGCTCAGCTCTACAAGGAGCTACGGGTGCTGGAGAGCCACCAGGCCGGGCTGCTGCAGGAACATGGAACTTCGTGAGATTCTTTCCAAACAGAAAGAGGCCACCGCCTTTCTGACACCGAAAGAGCTTTAAGGCCCCGATGGCCAGAGGCAGGCCATGCTGTGATGCTGAGGGTGCAAGGGGAAATGCCTGCTCCCTCCCCAAGGCTCCGACCTGCAGACTGGAAGCAAGCACACTCCTCGCGTCCATGTCGGCATGCACGTGCACACGCCCTGGAGGGGTGACCTGCCTTTACCTGAATGAATGAACACCTGCTCTGACTCTTCACACTAATGTGTGAGTGGCTGATCTAAGATTTTGGCCGAAAATAGGGAAAACTGGCAGGCCTATCCAGTGCCCCTTGGGAAGCTGGGGAGAGGCAGGTGCGGACTGAGGCCCAGGGACTGAATGGGAAGTGGGGTATGAAGACAGCTCAGCCCTGCTTGGGACGGTGGCATCGCATCCCCGAAACAGTGCCTGGACACTGCACAGGGTGGCTCCATCAGGAGCCTCCAGCAGTCTGGGCAAAGAGATTTGGGGTGTGTGCCCCCTGCACAGCCCCGATCCAGCAAGTCAGACCCAGCAGCTGGTCACATTCATTTAACGCGTCACTGCCCCACGCGAGCGCCTCAGTCTCATGCGCGTCAGGGGCTGCCTTCCTGCCCGGGGAGTTTCTGGGCTGCAGAGGGATTGTTACTGGGTTAGTGAACAAGGAGGCAGAAGAGAGGACTTCATGGGGAGTGGTGGCCCCGGCGCGGGGCTCCTACCATGTCGCTCTGTGATTGCGTGGCCCCGTACATGGTGATCCCGCTGGAGGGCGCTGCTGGCTGCGGCGTGTCGGGCTGGATGTACCCTCTTCTGTCAATCAGGCTGTGAGAGAGGAGAGCGACAAGACGAGGCGTGAACAAGGAGCCTGCGGCCCAGGGTGCCACGTAAACCTCCCGGTCTGGCCAGCGCTGTCTGTGACCGCCCCTCCCCCGGCACCTGAATTCGCCTTACTGGCCCGTGTGTATGTAATCTGCTACCAAATCCTGTCGCTCCTACCTCTAGAACGCTGGGGTTTGCCTTCTCCTCGAAATCCCAACACTTGTCACGTACTGCAGACCCTGCTGACTGCGGGAACATCTTGGCTTGTGTTACCCATCTGTCACAATCTGTCCCCAGCCTCCCCCTCCAGCCTTAATCTACGCCTTCTTGTTATATTCATTCAACAGACGTGGCCGAGCATGGTCTATGTGCCAGCGTGCAGTGTGGGCAGAGCGTAGCCACACCCCGTGCCCTCTGCTTTGCCGTCTCCGTGTTTTAGGACCGAGCTTGGTTTCCCCCTTGCCCTTCCGCTTTCATGTAACTTTCCCTTCCACTCCATGGTCCCTCCTTCGACTCCAGATCCCAAAGCACCTGAGCTCCTGCACTAGCGCCCTGCCCCATCCTCCCCTTCTCTCCTGGTGGCTCGTGTCACCTTCGCCTGGGGTCACAGTGACTTCCACACACGTGTCTTCTGTGTCTCAGAGCCTGTTGGCTCCTGAGGGCCGTCTTCATCTTGTCCCCCACGGCACCAGTGCCTGGCCCACAGAGATGGAGACTTAGGGGCTCCCCGTTTATGTCCGTCAGAGCGTAAAGACAGGGCCGTGTGAGTCACTGCTGCCCTGAGGCTGGCCCACAACAGGTGCTGAGCAACGCTTGCAGACGGGATGAACAGACACGGGTTTTTGTCTCCCTCGACTCTAAGGGCAGAACCTCAAAGAGTAACTGGAGGTCTGGCCAATGAGTGGGCCTCCCACCCGACACTGTGGGCGACTGGGTCGCACTCACAGCTGGGAGGCCACCCTGCCGTCCTCAGCAGCTTCTGCAAGGTGCAAAAATCAGTCCACACGACACACATCTCCACTCCCACAGGCAGTGTTTTTAAAGAGCAGAGCCTCTACTGCTCAGTTCAGTTTTCAGGAGACAGGAATTAACGTCACAACTACTACTACAGCTGCAGGTCCTTGTGCAGAACGGGGAGCCACAGAAACACTCGTGACAGGATCTGAAAATGGGACTCTCTCTGCCTGAGTCCCAGCTGTGCTTCCAAAGGTCTAGAACAACAAGAACCTCCACCTTCTGAAGGGAAACACCGGCCCCTGTGCAAGATGTCTAAGGGGGTTTCTCACTGGGTACAAAGGTCAAAGGTGAAAAGAGCAAAGAAGACGGGGGGTCTTAGAGAAAAGGGTCATCTCTACTCTGCTGATGAAAACTGGCAAAGGGCTGGGCCAGGCCAGATGCGAGTCCCGCAGGAGAGAGGCAGTGTGGGCCACCTTGGAGTTGGCTTGAAGGGGAATGCCATGGGTTGAGCAGTTCCAAAAGATATGTCGAAGTCCCCAGTACCCCCACCCTGACTCCTACTCTTCCTTTAGAAGAGATCACAGCTTAGACACCCCTCCTCGGCATCCAAGTGTATAACACTTCCCACTGATAGTCTGTGTCACAGAGAGACCCACCCTCTCTCCACGTACCCACTGCCTCAGCACAGAGCTTGCCCCTCAGTGCGTGCTGAGGAAGTAGCAGCCAAGTGAATTCTATGACTGTGTGACCCATGGAACCAGCCCGAGTATGTCCCAACAATGGCCATTCCTTGGGACTCTGTCTTCCCAATCTTCTACTCTTTCTGCCACACTCCTTTGACAATCCCTCTTCCCTCAAACTTGGCCATTCCCAGCCAGCTGCCACCCACACCTCGGGTGACTCTGCCTGGAACGGCATGTGGGTTTTGTGCTCTCAATATGTAGATTCTCAGTGGGACACAGGGAGATGCTCTTTCTCATGGACGGATTATGGCACTATGAAAGAACTGGTAATAGTTTGTCAGAATCAAAAGGAGTCATTCATGCAACCCCAACTAATCTGAGCCAGGAACGCCATAGAGGAGGTATCTCCTCATGCTAGCATGCCTGCTAACAAGAGCTGCATTCTAGAACATGACCAGAGCATGGCCGTGTGCAAAGACCACTGCAGCCTGACGTGAGAGCTACTCCACAGGCCACTGCCCAGAGACTGCCTGTGGAACCTTGCACGGAGGCCACTTTTATTACTGACTCTGGTCCCAAAACAATGACTATAGTCCCCTCTCCCATCTCCCCTCTTGCTTGTGATTTTTGCCTTTCAAAATCTGTCTGGGGATTGTAAGATTCTGTGAGCATGTTTGGGGCTTCCTGAATTATGCTCATCTGGGCTGCCGGCCAGCTGTGGTCCTCAGGTTCTGGTTTAGAATGAACCGCTTTCAATATTTTGACTGTTTCTCCTTTTAGGTTAGCAGAACACATCAGAGATAGCTCAAGCTGTCTGGGCACACGGGTGAGAGGACGGGACACTGCTTGGCAGGTCAGTATGGCGGGGAAGGTCCTGGCCCACGAAGGGCACAGGCTTGGGGTGGGGAGGGCAGAGGGAGGAGCGGTGAGAGGGTACCAGGAGGGAGGTACAAAGACAAAGTCATCCCTCTCTCACTTCTGCCGAGGGAGCCAGTGAGCCAAACAAGAGGTGAGCCGGCTCCTTCCCTGGTACAGCCACTTGAGTAGGTTAAAGTAATTGGGGGGGCTGGCAGGTAATGTGGTGGGTAAGGCACTGACTCCCAGATGACTGACCGTGGTTCAAGTCCTGAGCCTGGCAATTTGCTTTCTCACTTTTCTCTCTCTTTCTGCCTCTCTGGCCAAATTAAAATAATAATAATAAAAAATAAAATTAAAGAATTCTTTTAAAAAATAATAATAAATTGGGAGTCATTAGCCTGAGGCAGCTCCAGTCCCAGGTTCCCAGGAAAGCAAACAAAACCTAACTCGACACAAGTGAGTGTATTCGGGGCTTTAACCCCTCAGAAATGCCGACTCGCCTCTGATGAGGGTCTTTCTCCCACTAGAAAGACCCAGATGAGGCTCCTGCTCCACTTTAACCAGCAAGATATTCCCTTTGCATGGTCACCCTACAAAAGCCTCCCCTCCCTGTGCGTGGGGCCCAGAACCACCCTGGCCTGCCACTGCCTGTTTCTGAGTCGCTGCCTGCTCAGATACCTCTTCCACATTTTAATGTGTCTCCACGGTCAAGCAGGTTTAGAGAAATGGTCCATGCAAAAATAACTTGGATTTTGAAAAGAACGCAACCCAGGCCCAGCCCAGTGAGCACATTGGATCCAGCTGTGGGAGAATTTCAGTGCGACAGGATTTGACCCACAGAGACGACACAGCAGTGCCACTGTGAATCGAAGACTCAGGAGCGAGGACAGAGATTCGGACAGAGGCCAGCCTTTGAGCTCTCTCCCAGAGCTCATGGGTGTTCCAGACATGGGAAGAGAGGCCTGCTTGGGGCTCCTTCGCTGCTTGCCCGGCAAGGCCCCTGTTCTAGCACCCCAGTCTGCAGACAGGCATGCACAATAGGGAGCACAGCTAAATTGTGTCAAGTGCCTCCTAAGAGAGCTGTCGAAAGAGGGGGATGCCTGGGTGAGCCTGAAGCTCTCTCCTCCCTACCCTCACCATCTGGGTAGGCCCCTCTATCCCGGAGACCCTGCCTGCCCCTTCCTACAAGCCCCTCCTCAGAGGAGGCCTCGATGGAGCAGGTCTGAGGCCCCCCAATTCAGGCAAAGAGTGGCACACTGGGTTCCCAACTCCCTAGGTCAAAGCTGGGAAACAACCAACTTCTAATTACTCGGTCAATCACAGTAACCCAGTACCAACTAACAGGGGTCTTGGAACATACGCTTGGACTTTTCTTTTCTTTCTTTTTTTTTTTAATTGTCAGAGGTCATTACACTGGCCAGAGAGAAACACACACACAGAGGGCGAAATCTACGGTCACCCCATAATCCCTCCTCTGTTTCTCCATCCTGCCGGGATCTTCTGGGCATGCATGCACATGCACTTGGCATACGTTTCTAGCTGCTGGGGCTAGGATTTGAACTGCAGGCAGCCGTGTGGGATCGGGCTCCCTTGAACACTAGGCTACAGGGCTGGACCAATGCTTAGACTTTAAAAACAATGATCTTTTGCATTACTTTTACTTCCTTAATGGGGGTTCATTATTATTTCTTACCCGGGGCAGGTAATACAATGACGCTTGCATCTCAAGAGCATGCTGGGCGAGGTCACGGTGCACAGTGGGGCTGTGGTGCGCTGTGGGGCTGCCTTGAAGCCTGCCCAGTGGCTTTCGTGGTTCCTCTCTGTTTTCCCACTGAGAGACCATGGGGAGGAATCGCACCTGCCACACTTGCTCAGTAAACAAGTTACAGATGATCGTTTATTAGCCTGCCAGAGGCTAACTCAGACACAATCAGAAGGTTCTGAAGTTGTGCAGTTCCGGCTCGGACACACACCTTCGTTCTGGTGCCGGGTGGCCGGTGCTGGAGTCCCAGCTAGCAGGCATTTCCTAGCTACTGGGCACAATGGGGTCTGATAGCACCCACCTCCCAGGAGCAGAGTGAGGTGTTACAACGTAATACACGTAAGGCATGCTGCACAGTAACGTCAGCTGTCGCCACCACTCGTGCTGTCACCCTTACCGTCATCACCACGAGCTCCTCCACGTCCGTCCGCATGCACCTCTCCCCCCACTCTCCCACCGAGCTGTTGGGTGTTTCTATTCGGAACGGCTCACTTCCAGCGCTCCCTCGTACAGCTCTAACTGCCTGCTACTCGCGGGTCCCGGCTCCCCAGCTCTCGGCCAACCACAGCTCGCTGTCCGCCAGACACCCACCATCATTCAGCAACTCACGGGGTCACACGCCTCAGTTTCCCTATTTTGATCCTGAGGGGATTTCCCCCAAATCTGACATAAGCTCCACTGAAGAACAAAAGTGGCATGAAAGGTGACACAGCAATAGAGCCAGGCCTTGGTCTCCTTAGGGCCAAGTCTACAGTGACAGAGTGGACCACCCGCCGGCGACCGGGTCACAGGGAGTTGCAAGGCCTGTGCCAGCGCAGCCCAGGGCTCTGCTATTGCAGGTCTCTAAGAGCCTGACGCTTCCTGACTCTTACCTGGGGGAGAGGGGCCCACACAGGGCCACACAGCAATTTGTGAAGATATTTCCGTAGCTGTAGGGGTTGTAATTTTCTTTACCTCTTTTATTTGACCAAGATCCTTTAATCTGAAAGAAAAGAGAGTCAGTAACACACAGCGTCCTTCCCACCGATGCCGATGCCGGTGCCGGCGGTCAGGGGAACTGGCCCGGGGCAAGCCCGTAACGAAGGCAAATTCGGTCATTTCTGCACCAGGAGAAGCTGAGGGACCTGCTCAGGGGAAGCGGGCATTTACCCCAAATTTGGAAAAATCCCACAACGGCAGGTTAGACTGGGGGAGAGTAACACTTTCTGGGGATGATAAGCGTCTACTTGGCCATTTCATATAAGCCAGTGCAGACTTTTCAGCACAAACAACTACACTGATATTCTCTTGTTTTATGTATCTTTTCGCCTCTTCTCTCAAGCTTTTTAAAAAAGACTTTTAAAAACTTAAGCTATTCTGATATTTAACGCATGTACAGTGACAGAAATCTAAATATTAAGAGCAAAGAGGACCATCTTCCCCAAGAAACATTTTCTAGCACTGTGTTTTCTCATTTTATACCCCTCACCCATCTGCATTAGTCACAGACAGATAATTCTGGAAAACAAAGCAAAACAAAAACTTTGGGTCAGGGAGAATTTCTCCAAAAACTAAACAGAGACTGTATGAAAGGTGGAAGTCGCCCTGCTGTTGGCATCTATCTAGGACAGGAAACGTGACAGGTTACTTATGAAACTACTTAAAAGGGGGGAACCAGCAGTAAGCGTAATGGCTATGTCGCTGGACTCCCACGTAGTCGACCGCAGTTTGCGTCCTGGACCTGGTAGCTTAAAACTCACTCCAGGCGCGTGTGCGTGCATGCCCAAGATCCCGAGAGGAGAATGGAGAAGGGATTGCGGCGTGATCATCCCCCCTAGGGGGTGATTTCTCACTTTCTGTCTCTATGTCTCTCTCTCTCTGTCTGGTGAGTGCACGTGCCCTATAGTGAAAACCTCTCCAAAAAAAGGGAAATGAAATTATATGTCGTTCCCTTAAGGGAAAACCTCTCCAAAAAAAAAAAAAAAAACCTACTTAAAAGGACGTGCTGGCAGGTGGCGTGGTGGTTAAGGGCGCTGGACTCCATTTGGTTAACCACAGTTCAAGTTCCGGACCTGGTGACTTGCTTTTCATTCCCTGACCCCGCTCTGTCCCTCTCCGGTCAAATTAGAATAAATAAATAAATAAAATAATTCTTTAAAAAAACCCAAACTACCTAAAAGGAGTAGGAAGACCCTCTTGAGGGCCCAGAATTGAGTGTCGTTTGGCTTATCTTACTTAGCACTTTAGAAAAGAACAAAATGTTGAGGTTCTCAGTGGAGAAATGTAGTTTGACATAGTGGGGTGTCTTCCAAAAGTTCATGGAAAATGCAAATTATGGAAAACCTACATGTGAATTTCAAAATTTTTTGCACCAAGATAACTTCTCACTTTAGTTTCGTTTTCTCAGAGACTCGGAGCCCCTTGGATGGAAATGCTTCTGGGGCTCAGGGTTTGCTCCCTGGGGCTCACTTCTGGGATGGGCTGGAGCGAGAAGCTGCCCTCCCCTCTTCTGCCCCTTCCCCCTCCATGGCCTCACACGAAGCGCACCCACGGTCACGGGCGGGAACTTACGTCTTCGTTGGTGGTCTGGTTGGAGCTGATCAGGTACGTGTGGAAGCCCGAGAGGCCCACGATGGACCAGACGGAGAAGAAGCACACCACGGCCTCCAGCACAGTGAGGTGGCGTCAAGGAAGCAAACCGGAGGCCAAAGACCAAAACCCCAGGTAATCTTCAGGCCTCGGGCCAATCCCACCCTACGTCCTGCCTGCACTCCCCTTCTTTACTGTCCACCCAGAGGGACACCTCCTCCGGGCAGGACTCGCACAACACACGGCGCAGACAGCGCCCGCAGCTCCCCGAGGGCCGTGTGCAGCGGACAGCTCCCCTGTTCTCCCTAGGTGACCGTCACCTTCTCTGTGGCTCCTGAGGCGCCGACTGCGGCATCGAGTTGGCAGTGGCTGACAACCACTCCAGCCGCACTCTCTGTTCTTGGCATCTGAGCGGGGGGCACCCTCTGCCCAGGGCGGGAGTGGGAGGGTCCACGCCTCCGACCCCGCTGTTTCTCAGAGTGGCACCGGGGTGGGGGTGCTCTTCCTGTGGGGACCTTACCCACCCCTCGACAACCCCCCCCATTGAAGACCGTCCTGAGCTGTTGATGGGCACGGAAGGAGCGTGCATTCTCTGGAGACACAGAGGAAAACCTAGGCAGGGTTCCAGAAAATGCACTTTAAGCAAAGGGGAAAAGCCTGCGTTCTCCAAGAGATGAGGTAAAACCAACCGGGAGTGTGATCTGAAGAGACCAGAGAACTTTTTGGCCCACAAGCGCTCGTGAAGTTCTATTTACAAGATGCAGAAGTTCCTCCAGGGGAAAGAAGCCCGTTCACCACAGTCTGGGGATTTACACACACACACCGTCATTACAGGTGGAGGAAAAGCCTCCTTTCCTGTCACTCGCGGGCTGGAGGCCACCGGCCGTGCTGTGACACACCACCGTTGGCTCGCCGGTGGGAGATCACTCCCCTTAGGCCCGAGGGCTCAGTGTAGGACCTGGGGCAGCGCCCCTGCCTGCCACATCGCCATTCACCGAGGCCACCGTGCAGTGCGAGGGGCTGCACACAGACCAGGAGGGGCCGAAGATGCCTGTCTGTGACTGACCTTTTCCTGCATGGTGAGCCATCAGCCCTCCCAGACGCAGCTCTAAGGAGGACCAGCAGGAGGCAGGAGTGAGCAGGAAAGCAGACCTCCTACCCAGGGCTGCCACAGCCTGGCAATCCCCCCACTTCTCCCAGGGGGACCTCAGTAGCAAATGGCCCTGGTGGCAGCCTCATGTGTATGTGGGGGCACATGGATGGTGGCCCACGCAGTAGAGTAGCTTCCTCTAACTGCCTTCCCATGGCCAGTGCTTGCGGGTGCCCGAGTCTTCTCATGTCCCCACGTGGGGCACAGGCCACGCACTGGCTCGAGAGCAGAGGCAGTGAGTGCAGGCAGAACGATGTGGGAGCAGTGGGTGGCCATGCGTGACAGGGAGGGGACACAGCAATGCTTTGTAGGAAGATCAAAGAGGAGGTGACAGAACGGAACAAGAGCAGGCCAAGGGTAAAAAGCAGGGTAGGTGCGGACCGAAAGCTGTAGGTATGAAATAGCGCATGACACGCTGACTTCGATCTCAGAAATCCATGTGTCACCAAAACTTCACAATCCTCGTAGGATGACCGAGAAGTCAAAGTCCACGTGGCATCTACCTGCGTAAGCCATGTGCACGCCGGCATGTCAGAGCGTGGCCCCTGCCACATCCTGGCTGAGGCTTCTTCTGCAAGGCCACCTAGCATGTCACTCCCGTCCCGAGGCGTCGTGATCAGTGGATGTGGAATTTTAAAATTTATAGTGATGAAAAAAAATGCAGCGTTTGGTATTAAGTTCTTGCATGCTTTGAAAGCATTTTATCAATAGCAGGAGGTGGCTCTGCCGTTGGCTCACAGCTGGGTCACAATGACAGGAATTCCAGGTAGGAGGCGAGGTGTAGCCCACCCCACCCCGTGCCTGGCTGGCACCTCCCACCATCGCCGCCCCTCACCATGGCTGGCCTCCGTGGCCATGTCAGGTGCTCTTCAGAGGTGTCACGTGCACTGACTCAGGGAGCGGCGTGAGTTCCTGTGACAGTTAGGGAAATGGAGGCAGAAAGCACTGACGTCGACTTAGGAAGTGGCAGAGCTAGGAGTCGAACCTGAAGCCTGCTCTGCCCATGTGATGGAAGAGCCCGGGGCTGGTTCGCCTTAGTTCCTACTAGGGGCAGGTGGTCCAGGATGGCCCCAGCCTCTCCTGGGGGAGCAGGGACCCTCGGCGTCAGGATCGTGAACCTCCGGGGCAGCTCGTTGTCCATTCTCCTTCAATCCATTCTCAGACCGAGGCCCAGATAGCCAACCACTCTCGTTCTCACTGACCTGAGAGCTAGATGCCGTAGAAGACAAAGGAAGATACATTTGGTGGGGCTGGGGGGACGGCCTTGTGGTCTGCCGAGTAAGGGAGCTGGATCCCACAGGCTGACTGTGCAGTTCAAATCCCAGCCCCGGCAGTTTGAAAACCACAAGGTGCGTGTGTGTGTGACGCACGTGCCCAAAGTCCAGGCAGAGGAGAGAAATGGTGGTAAAGGGCTGCCGTGTGATCACCGCTCACTGTCTCTGTCTCTCTGTCTCTCTCTGATGAGTGCACCCACCCTCTGGCACACTAAAAAAAAAAAAAAGAAAGAAAGGATTTTACTGAGACCAGCAGTTGGTGTAGTGGCTATGTCGCTGGACTCCCACGTAGTCAACCACAGTTCAAGTCCCAGACCCAGTGGTTTAAACTCACAGGGCGCGTGTGCGTGCGTGCCCAAGATCCCGAGAGGAGAACGGGGGAGAAGGGATTGTGGTGAGGCCCTCCCTTGCTTTCTGTCTCTCTGTCTCTGTCTTTCTGGTGAGCACACACGCCCTATAGCAAAAACCTATTGAAAAAAAAAGTATCAAAACCCACTGACTGATTTTTTTTTAAAAAAGAGAAATGAGAGGAAAGGAAGCATGCCAATTCTCCTGGGAGCCAATTAAACTAGTATCAGGGATAGGTTTCAAATGACAGCAGTTCCCTCTGCCAGCCTCTGTCTGCCTCTCCTCAGCCCCCAACAAGACAGTGCACCCCCTTGTAGCCAGCAGCCGACTTCAAGCCCCAGAGCTCTTGGCCCAAGAGGCTGCAAGCCCGGTTCTGAGTACAGTCCATGGCTCCAAACAGGCTGGAGAGTGCGGCCTGCAGGTGCTGCTCCCAGTTCCCGCGCTGCCCCAGAAGAGCTGGCTCCGGGCCGTTCTACGTACCTGCCTGGCAGTGGGGCACCGGGCACAGGGGTGGGGTGGGACAGGCCCCCAAGGGAACAGGGGTGCTGCTCGTAGCTGGAGAGTACGTGAGGGGAGAAGGCCGAGCAGGGATCTGGAAACACCATGAGATAGCGTGGCTAGGACGCCTCAGGATCTGGAGAACCACACAGGTGAGGGGCCTGGAATCACAGGTCTCTAGGCTTTTGGATTTCTGCTCTTCTCTCGGAGAAATCTACAGTTTCCCTATAATTCTAGGAGATTAAAACACTCCCCTGAGGGCCCACATGGCTACACAGGGAGCCCAAGGTAAGGCACCTCGATTTATTCTAATTCCTTCATTTTCTAGATTGGAAGCCAATGCCCAGAGAGGTCGAGACACTCACATAAGTTTACACAGCAGTTCCTGGCAGGACAGAACTGGGCCTGATGTCCAGACTTCCAGGAGAGGAAGAATCCTCCCCAAGGCCTAGGGATGGCAGTCTCGTTGGCAGCTGTAGCTTCGAGGGCCTGTCTCGTGGGGCAAGGTGGAGCCGCGGCCCTTGAGTATCTGTCCTGCAGCCACGCCTGCCTGACAAGCTTGTCTCTGCGCTGTGCCAGGCCCGTCTCTCCCCATACTCCAGCATCCAGGCTGGGGACAGTATTTGTTGCCAAGTGCAAATCCAGATGATACTTTATTTTTAGAAGTCTGTGTGTTTTTTTGTGTGAATTTATCAGACAAAATTCCAGGATCCCAGAGTGGCCAGGAAATGCAGCTCAGTCGGGGTCTCCCCTTCTAAGCACTTGGCTGACGGGGCCCTGGGTGTGGCGCTGTGGGCAGGGCCTTCCCCAAGGGCCGGAGACGTGCACCCGGGAGTCCTGCTGCATCTTATCTGGCTTTAGCTGCTCTGTCTCAGGGGAAAACTGGCCCAAAGGATTCTGATGTTTAGAGCATAAGAAAACGCATGTGTTTGCAACCATTTCTTTTCTCCTAAAACTTAGAGTAAAGCAGGCAACGCCCACTCACAGGAGAGCCTGGGAGGACAGAGAGTCGCGATATTTCTCTTTGTCCTCGCGGGTGTCTACAGCAGCAGTTGTGGCTTTTAGATGTGTAGGCCCCAGCGTGTCAGCGTTTTCCCCTCAGCTGGCTGACCACAGAGCCCTTCAGCAGAGACGTGTTGCCGAGAGCCTGTCACCGTCGGGACAGGACTGCTGACTGGCGGACAGTGCACATGGCAGACGCTTTGAAAGGGGAACGTGCAGAGACCGCTGGGCCGGGTCAGTAGACCGTGACCGTCAGCCTCAGTCCCTTCCTCCTGCCCGCGTTTACGTAGGCAGGAAGGTGTGGCTGTCCCAAATGAACCTAGGAAGGCATGAGATCCTGATTCAAATTCAGCTGGGATTTTGGAACTGGACCAAGACAAACTGACTTGCAGATTCTTTAAGATGATAAAATGAGCAAGCGCAGGTGAGGAGTTTTGAGGAAGAGTCTCAGGGGGTGAGGGTGGGAGGTGTTTCTGGTGAATGAAAGGAGGTGCCAACAGCACAGAACAGCATGGGACAGAGTGGAGTCCAGAGCGGACGTGGGGCCCCATGGGAACCGAGGATTTCAGACTAGTGCCAGGGACTAGGCTGTGGTTCCCCAAGTGCGGCCCGTGCCCCGTAGGGTCCCCAAGACAATGTCTAGGGATCTTCCCGATAAACAATCTTCCTGCTACGGCGTACCCTGGCTCTGCCGGCCGCGCAGAGCTTCGTCCAGAGCTGCCTGGTGATGACCTGGGTCCCGCGTCACTAACGCCAGGTGGGCTTGTGCATTCTTGTGTGGCAGGATTCTCTCAGTTCCAATTTCATACATGT